CCCCAAAACCCCAAAACCCCAGTTAAATATATTTGCATGGAAATAGGGGTAGTGAATTGATAAATAATTTTAAGAATCATTATTAAAAGAAAAATGGATTATTTCTATCATGCTACCTATAAGTCAGGTAACGCAGTAACTTAGTCTCTCAAATGTAACTTCACTCTATCTCCTTACTCAGAGGAGGAAGTTGAAATTATGACGAAGAACAATGTAATTTTCAGTTCTCTTACAAATTATTCATTTGAGTTATTGAGTTTAACCAATTATGTAGTAAATTAGATAAGGAGACTCAAAGAGTATGTTTAAGTTAGACTCAAATCTAATCATCGCTAAGTCAAATAATCTGCAAGTCATGAAACTCACAGAGACTGACATTGAGGAGATTTACACTATTCCCATTAATGACCAGATTGTGAGCATACTTAGAATTTCATCAGACTGTATTTTGGAAAAGGCGGGAAAGCCAATGATTGGGAAAGATCCAAAATCTGACAAAAAAGCTCAAGATTTCCTCTTTGTATTGACTGCTGAGTATAATTGTTTGTTATTCGCTCATGATCATAAATAAGGCATACACTGTATTTCTACTGGCAACATTCAAGATATTACTGGATAGAAAAGAGAACCTCCATATTCCGTATTTCTGGGCTCAAATGGAAAATATATTGGCCTGATGCTTTACGAAAATATCATAAAAGTCATTCCATTAGTTAAAAGCTAGAACAACAAAATAGCATTGAGTAATGCATTTAATGTAAGAATAAGACATCCGGAGGCCCATCAGATTATTCCACTAATGGAGGATGACTAGCCTGGAAGCTCTACTCTAGCCGTCTTTTATCAACAATAAACTAGCAGACCTCAAAATATGAATCAAACTTCTCTTGTTTTAAGAGTCAAGAAATATACTTTAAACATGGCTGACAAAGATATCGAGCCAACCTCTAATGACGATCAAGTGGATCTTGAAAGCTCAACAACGTATAGAATTAAAGAGCTAGATTTTGGAGGTTTCCTAGCCTTTGATCCTGAATATATTCATTGCTTCAGAAAGAGAATCAAAAATAAGATTATTAGTAAGAAACTAAGAAAACCTATGAAGATCACTGCATTCAATTCGATTGATTAATATGATCCTATTATGAGAAAAACAAAGGATGGATAGAGTCTTATGAGATATTTATTTGCAACTGAATGTGGGGAGTTCTATTTATTAGCATTCAATCTCGAAAATCTTCATTTGATTAATGGGTTTGGTGCTGTTAATCCTCTTGAAGCAAATCAGTTTATGATTATTGAGTTTTTAGCTCATAAGCTCTCTAGTTGTTCGAGTTTAAATTACCTTGATAACGGTTTTGTCTATTATGGATCAAAATTAGGCGAGTCAATGCTTCTCCTTCTTGAAACTGAGAATACAGGTCACAAGGATCGTCCTTATGTTACTATCAAGAAGCAATATGAGAGTCTTGGCATCATTACTGATATGGTAATTAAAGAATAAACTAATTCGAAAGTTCAATAAAAAGAGCTCATAGTTCTTGGAGGTTAAGGACATAATAGTCATATAAGTGTCCTAAGGAAAGGTGCGACTCTTAAAATTTTGCAAACCATTGAGTCCCTTCCTATGCTCAATAAAAATGGCATATTTATTGTCAATAAGATGATATTGCTTAGCTTTTACGGTTTCAATCATCTTCTATGCCTTCATACTGAGAAAACTGTAAATGATTTGTCTGAGGATGTGACGATCAAAGAATCAAATTATCTTGAATCAATCTAAATAGATCCTTCAGACTAAATATTGGCTGTTAAAGAAGTAGAGATTAATTAGGAAAGATTACAAGTCATAGTCAGCTAGAGTTTTATCAAAATCCTAAAGAATAGTTTTTAAGACTTGGCAATGGAGTTCAAATTCGATAATGGTTTAGAAGAAATTAATAATACTAGCATTGAAAAGAACATGATTCTGATATCTTCAAACCACAAAAATTTATATTACTTTGACTTATCAAGTGTAATAACTAACCCTCTAGGCTTAATGATACCTAACTCTCTGAAACAATTTGATTACTATATAAGTGCAGTAGCACTCTCTGAATAGGCATCAATTGGATATGTCGCATTTTGGGATGCACCATATTACTCGATTAATGTTATCGACCTCTAGAAGATGCAAGTTTTAGCAAGAAGAGCTTCTATAGGGTATGTTGATGCTAGACTATCGAGAGATTTTCATAAAAATCACTAAACTAATACCAGAATTAATGAGGAGGAAGAAATGATGCAAATCGATACTGAAAGTACTTAAATGGCAATGATCAATAATATGAATGACTAGTTCCCATGCTTAGCTATCTCATCAATACAACTTGTTTCTATTGGAGATCAGGATCAAATAATTTGTGGTCTGATTGATGGAAGGATACTATCATTAATAGCTTAAAGAGACATGTTAGTTAGAATTATTGATCAGCCAGAAAGTTTTCCTCCTTAATTAAATCTCATGTTTTCTGGTGAACTATTTTAAGATTCAAAGCCTGATGTCGCAGATGCTCTCTGGAATATAAGACCCAATAGATTGGGAAACTAGCAAGTAAACTTAAGAAAATATGATTCATAATTCGGCAAACTAATATTTGCTTAATCTGACAAACCAGCTATTTTTTACCAAAGAAGAGGAGAGCTTACAATTTAGTATCTAAATTAGCAGGACATTAAACAAGCAAATAATTTGTACATTGACGATCTCAATCTTATAATCTATGAAAATACTGCAGGAAGTCTTATCATTGGACAAATAGAAGACTTGCTTTCATCATCTTTACTCCAATATAAGTTTGAGAAAGATGTGACTAAGCTTATAATGCCTGATGAAAATATAATTATGGTGCTTATGGAGGCTCCTAATTTTGAGTATTTGGACTAAAATTCAACAGCTGTAAATAATATGGCTATAATGGATGTCAATAACTTCAATGTTTTAGATTCTTATGACTTTTAGAAAATAGAATTGCCTAACTGTATTTATCAATTTAACAAAAAGAACCACCCCACCACATTATCCATTAAAAATTAATCAGTCTTAGTTGCCATTGGAACAGCCTATTTAGATTTAGAAGAGTAATTTCCATCCAAGGGAAGACTAATTATATTTGAAATAGATTTTACTAGGAAGAAAGCTGTAGAAAGACATATAGAGTAAATCAATGGAAGTGTTTAGTCTATTTCAACACTCCGAGAGGATAATAAGTATCTATTACTAGGAGTAAATCTTGAGGTACATTTATATTCAGTCACTTAGAGGGGGCAAGAGATTAGACTTGCTCTTCTTTAATAAATAGCAGTTGGAACATGTATCCAGGAGATTAAAGTAGTAAACAATACTGTAGTTGTAGGAGATATAATGAGAGCGATTTACACTTTTGATTTCAAAGAATAAAAGCAAAACAAAATGCTTTGTGAAAGCGCTCACTCAAATCACAGTATCTGGACTAATTGTGTTATCACCTTAAGTAACAGTCATTTTATGGTCTTCGATAAAGAAGCAAATGTCTTTGTCATTCAAAAAATACTACTTCCTGTAAATGATCATGAGAAATTTAAGTTAAATCTGGTCTCTTGTATGAAAATAGGTGAAGAAGTAACAAAAGCTGTATTTGGATCACTAAATATTCCTAGTGAATCAGTTGATGCTAGTATGGCTTAATCTGTAACCAGATCTGGTAAGGAAAAGTCTTATTATCACGGAAAGACTAGATCTTCCAGAAAGAGAAATAATGAATAAGTCAAGGAATTGTTAATGGATTAAACGAACATAGTTGATGATAATCTGCTTTTAAACGACAAAGATTATCTTAAGTTGATTACGAAATAAGCCCTCATTGAATTGATTAAGCTACAAGATGCTTAGTAAATAATATACGGAACTAGTTAAGGAAGCCTAGGTGTTATATGCTAGATTCCTCTTAAAGCATATAAAATTTTGGAACTATTATCTAAGACTATGGAAAAACTAGATATGAACTTTTATGGTAAACTCTCTAGGGTGACATTTAGGTCAGCCAAAACTGAGTCTCTAAAACAGGAAGCAACAAATATAATTGATGGTGATTATGTCTAAAATTACTTAGATAGTGAGATGAAGTTCTAAAATACTGTGATATAGCAAATGCTAAAGGATTATAATCAGGAATTTGCAAGGGATATTAAAGGTATTTTAGAGATATTAAAAGATAAAAATTGAGTTATCAATTTAGCGGGTAGGCTCTTTCAAAATACCAAAAATTATTATTTTCTTTATAAGTTAATATAATTTATCTGAGATTCTCTTAAAAGCTTAGAACATGGGGTTTTGGGGTTTTGGGG